CAACCATTCAAAAACTCATAAAATGTAAGAAACGCAATAACTGTTGAAATGTAAACAAACAATGGTTGAACCTATAAAATTCAAAAAGTGTTTGTTCCTATTTTTTTTGTTTGACTTGAGTAAAATTACATGATAAATCCTTTAGAGAGAGAAACTAATTTTTACTGAAAGTATTTTATATTTAAAGAATTTTTCTCTCCGGAAATCTTGAAATCTATATTTATATTATAATGTAACCAAAATGTACTGTACCAAGTACAACAAAACAAATAGGGGAGGGAAGTTCAGAGTTTTATCCTCTTTTTAAATTCAAGTAGCAACCTGAAAATTTTAAAAATTATATAAGTATGATATTAAAATATGAATGATCTTCTACCACTTCTATCAATGATCTTTTAAACTGGTTGATGACTAGTTATATTTAATAAATAAGTATTTCGAAAATGCAAGAAATTAAGTGTGATCAGAGATGGAAATAATTTAAGGCTGTATTACTCCCTTAGCTGTCAAAAACAGAAGTCTTAACCTCGACTACTTTAAAACCTTTTTTGAACAACGTTAATAATTGAGACGAAAACTGTGTAACAACAAAAAAGCTTTTGATAGCATAGTAAAAGTACATGTTGCCTATGCACAAGAATGGTGAAACAACTTAAATAACATACATTTTTTATGCTAACTGAAAATGTATGGGTTTTCAGTTGTGTCTCTCATCTTGTGCATATACGACTTATTTAATTTGATGTTTTCATATTGTACATAGAACGTTTATTTAAAAATAGTGGTTGATAAAATTGGAGCAAACCGAACAATCAGATTTCGTACTTCAGTAAGTATGAGAGCCAAGAGACTAGCTTTTTGTATGTTTTAGTGGGGGAATGTTATCTTGGCTGGCGAATCAGTCTAATACGTTAATCATTCCCAACAATAAGTCGCATACCATTGATCTGATCATGGCGTTTGTCTTTCTTTTTTTTCTGCGTTCCGTTGGATTGAATGTAGGAAAAAATATCCGATAACATAATTCCCGAAAGAAAATATACCCAATGAAATACTACTCGTAAAAAAAATAACCGAGGGAATTTTACTCCAACTACATTAAGTGGTAGCGAACGAACCAACAATCCAACAAACTATTGGATTCATAGGTTTTCTAAATTTGTCAACCAGAACAATTCAAGCATTTGGCCGTTAATTGAAAAAATGCGTTTAAAAATTGCGGTCGACTGAGTTTAATTAATCATATGTAGTCATTGTAAAATAGCAATTTAATCATAATGTATATTATTTCAAAAAGGTGGTCTTTTTGTAAAATCCCTATTTCTCGTTTTATACTTAACCAAGTTTGATAAATGAGGTACCATTTTAAAATTTAAGTTCGCCGCTTCTGATGAATTTTTAATTTACAATTTCACTTTGAATTATCTGTTCAAAAATCGAAGTTGAAGTGTTCGTGAGCAGTATAACACCGGTAAGGTGGTCGGTTGATTTTGTTTTGTTTTGTTTCGGTTTTTTTTATTATCTCAGCCGTGGCCACGACGACAACCATGATGGCGGCTCTAATGTGTATATTTGTATTACTATTGATTGTAAGTATACGCAATGGCCAACTAGAAATGGATTATAGTACTTTCAGAGTAAGTAGACCGCACTTGACTTTCCTGTATAATTCATCAACACTCTAAACTTTAGACGTTATACGGCGAGAAGAAATGCAATTAGTAAATAAAAATATTTCCAGAAGAATATTTGAAATATGAAATTTACAATTACGTTTGTTGTATTTTGTTTAATTTGATGTAAGACCATTTTTTTTTTTTTTTGAGTTATATCACTTGGTCGTGACGATATAGGAATTATAGTTATTACTTATGTGATATATTTTTATATATCTCACACGGTCGCAGGTTATTTGGATCGTAACGTTACCGGGCATACACGTAACAACATATAGGTATACCTATACGTGTATTTACTGATTGTACCCATAGATAATAATAATAATAATATTTCTATACGTACGTGACTATATGTATGCGTCCAATAATCGGTAACGCGGCTCTATTAATTATTCTCATTGAAAAACAGCCGATATGTGTGCTACGTGATTATTGCAGTGGTGTAGTTGTAACGTAGCGACTCAATTTCACGGTGTGTCAACGTGTATGAGCGCGAGGCCGTAGGACATCATCCTGTGAGTTAGCTGATGTCGGTGACCGATTTAAAACTGTTATAATTTAATGACTAATTGCAAAATTAGTTTGTAAGTATCGCTTGTTATTATCGCAATACTGTCGGCAGTGCGCGTACACTGCAAACACAATGAGCGCGCCATAAACTGAGACTTAAAAAAAAAACAAAAAACGATTTAATAAATTAACGCACCAACGGGTGATGGACCGTCGGATGAGCCATCGAAAGACTAATAATGCGTAGTGCAACGAGCCTGCTCACCTATAAATAGTATAATAGTGTAATAGTATAATACTATAATAGTGTATCATGTTATATGCGCCTATTCTTGAACAACTTAATACTTATTAACCCTCAACGGGCAAGGCCCGGTCACCCGTGACCGCGATGATTTTTCAAATACTCCCAGCTAGATAATATTATCAAGAACCGATTTTACCCTCGCCTTATACCCATTCGTAGACTGTTAAACAGCTCGTCTGTACTTAGTTTGCTCGTCTTTTACCTCGGTGCGCTTCCAGCTTTCGTTAAAATTTCAATTAAAATAGCCTTGCCTGCGGACGGTTAATATTGGTTATTTCTAGTAGACCTCCGATGCGGATAGATACAACTGGTTGCTTACACAGAGCCGTTCATGGCACCGGGAACATCTATATTATTGTTACATTACCAATACTTTATAATGTATGCTAATTATTGAACCCAGTGCATGTGTTCAGTATAATCATATGTCTGGGACCATAGGTACGGGCGCGGGCCAAGAAACGGTGGAAATAACTTTGCAATAATGATAACATAGTTTATTATACTTATTATTGAACTTGATTACAGAACGCTTAATATGTGTTAATGCTTGTCCTGTATCTAAACCTACTGGTTACCGGTATTCAAATGTCCATATACATTTTTACACTCTAAATCTTAATAAATATTACCTTGTGTCACGTGACACGATTTTAATATCTGCCACATGATTTAAGATTGTCGATGACTTTCGAGCCGTAACATCAATTAAATACCCGTCAACAGTGTTTTAGATTCCATCGATAATTGTTTAGCCTGGGTAGGTATTGTATTGTAAGTACGTATTGTATTTTTATCGTGTAAATTAAAACGGTTGTTTTAAAAAATGTGATTCTTGTCAAATATCAATTTATACAATTAGAGAGCTGCAAGTTAACAAGAACCTTTGTTAATTCTATTAATTCTAAATAATCTATCTGTCTACCGACTGGTCTCCTCTAAAAAAATCACTTTATACTTGGCACTTAAAAACATTATAAAACAGGTGATATCAAAATATAGATTTATGTGATGTATACATATGGGCGTTTTATGTTGCAATGTCTACTTATGAATACACGTATACAATTATTTATAAAAAGAAAATAAACATAGTAAGGCTAGTAGGTAGAATGATCTTGTTAGTAGGTTTTTGTTCCTAAGCCACTATATAGTCTATATTAATAAAAAAACCTAACCATGTTAACGATAAAAAAAAACATAATACTTTGTACTCGCATGTGTACTCGTATGTTAAAATTATTAATTTTTGTTTCAGAGACTTTAATGGTAGTAACTAAGAATTTATTTTCTACCTTAACAGATAACACTTAAAGTTTTAATATTTTATATTTACCGTTTTAATACGTATTTACGGAGGCATTATTTTTTCACCTGTATTTTTTATTTCCGTTCGTGATTAATGATAACTGATTAGGTTTATAATATGTCAAGTATATTTTAATTCCAATGTATTAAACATGAAATACAAGTTTATACTCCATTCATATTTATTAGTATAAGGTTATTTTAAAGTTATAACTATAAGTAATCTATAATAATCTACAAAACTATACTCAAAATAAAGGCTATGCATTAATAAACTAGTTGATCAATACTAATCTTCTTGATAGGTGTTTTCACTTTTATTCCTATGACTTACTCGCGCTTGGCGTTTTACTTGCGACTTTAGGGATTTGTAACTCATAAACGTTTGATACGCCTTAATCAATAGGGTCACATACGGCGTACGCCATGTCAACTGTCAAAAGGTGTGCCATTGCATATCCAGTTTCGTAAGCCGATATAATATTTTACAGTAGGTGAGTTTGTCGGATTATACGACACGTTGGTGTATTTTTCGGGATTACTAAATGGGAAATAGGAAAAAATGAATGTTGTATACCTGTCTCTGCAGACCCGAATGAAAAATGAGTGTCGTCGGCATAACGGTTATGTAATTTGCATGTCCCCGAGTGACAAGTGCAAGTTAACTCGGATCGCGTTCAAGTATCAAATTTTCCAAAATATTAAAACGTTTACGACCGGCCGTAGAGAAACTATACACAACTCAAACGTTATAAAAACAAATAAAACATTATATGTAAGTATAGAAAAAAAAAAAAATCGTTTTTTTATCGTACTAATAGCTCTGACACCTCCCCTATTATAATACAAGGCGACAAACAAAAATGATAACCGTTCGAGCTACTACTTCTATCCTGATCAGAGAACGGCGACGGTGCAAGTCAGCAGTTTACAGGACATATTATATTATATGTAAATTGTTTTAAGTCTCGTGTATACTAAATTGTGCAAGCGTCGTAGGGCGGGTTCTCATTTCACCACTGAACTATATACAGTACCCGATGGCGACCGTGAGTTGCCCGGCGGTGGCGGTCTGACCGAATAAGAAAGTGACCCTCTCCTTTATCGCCATGCTCTGTTCTTGTGCGTGTGTCTCTCTCTCTCTCTCTCCCGCTAACACGGTGAACATCTCCCTACCGTCCGTTCGCCCGTGAGTAAGCGTGCTGTCCGACCAATCTTCACTCTCGTGTGAACAGTAGTTTAGGACGAAGCGTGCGAACGAGTTAAATATAGAATTGTAATTTATAAATCGGTGTACAAAGAAAAACAATCGTTCGGATGTGTACATGTGCACCTGAGAAAATATTGTTAAATCTTCGCCGTCCGAAACACGAGCTTTGTTTTTTTTTACTTCAACTCAACCGTCGATTCGAATAGTTTATTTTTTTTAAATATAGATATTTTTGTTTGTTTTTGTTTGCTCCGTTAGCGCCAAATTGCATCGATCATCAATGTCCGGCTCGTTTCGCGTTTAAATTCGTTTTACGCGTGTCCCGGCGAGTGCATGGCCTGCGTTACAACTGTAAATGTCACAAACTTTCAATAGCCGATTAGTCCTCAGCCTCGTCCGTCCATAGCCCACGCGCATCGCCTGAAGAAGTCGCTCGCTATTTGGATACACATTCTAAGCATCTGAAGCACACGATGGTCCGTCCCAACGAAATCGTCGTGCTCGCGTTAATGTCGATTGCATGTCTAACGCACAAAGGTAAGTTTTTCATCGTTACTATTGAGTCGAAAAGATCAATTACAGTTTTCGGGCAACAAAAGTTACATTACTTCTTAGTTTCCGTACGCATTATTTACCGTCGCGTCGTCTCGTTTTAATTAAATTTCAACATTTTCAGTCTAAAATAAAAGGGCGCGCCTGGTTCGTTCCTGGTGTTTTACCAATTATACAATTGGCCTTTTTAGACCTTCATAGGTCTATGAACGAAACTCGGAAAGAGTTTTTTTTTTGGAAGGACGTCTTTTTTTATCTATCGGTCGTCGGGACCGGTCGGCGCTGTTTGGGGACATCCCATTTGTACTCGGTACGCTGGTGGTTTGCTGTATATGTTATAGAGCTCAGCAATAAGTAAACGTAAAATCATTTAGCGGAAAAATATAAACAGAGTAAAAATCGAAAGTAATATAATATATATATATAAACGTATCGTGCATGTATATAGGAAAAGATGTTGCAATGGAAAGTGAAACGACCAGGACGACGTGTGATACAGGCCGAATGTGTTGAGTATAATATGTACACAGTGTAATATTAACGGCCCCGCGAAGAGAGTTGATACACAGTTGTAATAAACTATAATATTAAGTATATATATATATATATATATATATATATGTGTATACGCAAACCTGTACTAGCTATTTTTGTTAAAAACGTAATGGGCCGTGATTAAACGTCATTAAGGGGGGAGGGGAGAAAACGACACTTCCGTCACGTCTTCGGTTAATATTATTACTAGCAAAGCTAAGAGTTATTGTTATGAAAATGATAGAATTTTTTTGGGGTAAAATAATAATATTCATTTAGTAGTGAAATGAGATTTGCAATAGTATTGTAACTATTATACCTTGCGCAAAAGTGTTTTTTTTTTGTCTTCTTATTGTTGTTTTTTAATTTGCGAAACATCCCGAGTTAATTTACACGGACCGGCGTGGCAATATAGTACACGCAAATACAAAGCCGTTTAATTCGTTCTCCGGTTTACTATTATTAATGAGCACGACGATTTCACGGTTTGAGTTGGCGTCTGTGCGATTCTGTGCGCGCACTTGTATTAAAGAGTACGGTTAATTTAAATACACTGTGAAAGAGACCATTGTTAAGCCGGGATATTTACCGATGTTAATGTGTGTTTGTGTGTATTTATATATGTGTGTGTGTGTGTGTGTGTGTGTGTGTATTATTTTTTTACACTTGTCATAATCCAATAATCACACAAGCGTTCCGAGGAAAGCGTTATTATTATTTTTTCCCCCTTATTGCGTATGTTCGTCGTGTGAACGTGGAATCAAAATTTGTGGTCTACCCGTCCGACATAAACCAATTGTCCGTGTGCGTTATTTGTATATATATATATATACACATATCGGCTATAGTGCATAATATAGACATAACCAGAGTGTAGTACTTAGGAGGTGAAAAAGTGAAAATCCTGCGTCCGCGTTCCATTTGTTTGTTGTTTTTTTCTTTTTCTTTCGGTGAAACCTTTTTAACGGCATCTGTCGTTCCATATATAGTACCAAGGGCAAGTGGCCGCTGCGGCTATTAAAAGCAAAAATAACCGAATCACTCCGTAAGTCCGCTGACCGTTTAATAGTTTGTATAGTAATTTTAATACGACGCGCTTCTGTATGATTACCGGCAAATGATGTCATTAAAACTCCTATAGAAACCGTGTGCGCCGGCCGAAGCCGTTCGTTCGCTTTATAAATGTCACGGCTTGTACAAATGACGTCCGTTCGAAGTTAACGTCACCAAATAGTTCTTGTGGCTCGTGCTAAAAGAACAAACCTTTTGAGAAAAATCGCTTGGTCCCCGCTTGCCGGCCAGTCATGCCGCCTGTGCGACACCGAACAGACCACAGGCTTTTATCGACAACATTTTTTTTTTTTAAAAGCAATAATACTGAACCGCATATAAATCGAATTCCAAGTTCGTACGACTGGCGTCCCGGTGACGCCAACGCTACATAAATAGCACGTTAGTAGGACCATCTGAGTCACAGCGCCGGTTGTGTTAGGATATGATGCTGGGTTCTCGATCGCAAACGTCCAAAGAGATAGTTCCTGCGGATGGCGTACGTACAACGAGAAAATCCAGACGACTATTAATAGCTAAGCCCGGTATCGCACTGTTTGTACAATATCGAGTGCACAGGTCGACTGCTGGTCGTATTTGCATAACGCCGGAATGGCCGGCGTCCGGCACCTTTTTCGCGTAGGTATAAACGCACACGAGTCCATAATCTCTCGTTATTGTAAAAAATAATCGATCAGAAGAGCAAAGTAAACGGGTATTACGATAATAGTGAAAATGTCACCTCGGAGGGAACCGGTTACAACGCTTGCATTCCGATAAAGGTTGAAAGCCGGCGGCCAACCTTGAAAAATCATTGGGCGGCTGCGCAGCGTCGGAGTGCGGAAAAACAATCATAGCCGTTTTTCTATTTATGTGACCGTAGCGGTTTTAAATTGTCATAATATACGGCCAATGCTCTTTGCAAACCGTTCCAAAGTTACACACACTTTCCAGTAAGTCTACGCGTGTAGATGTGGACAAAAAACGCTCACGGTCTACCGCTTGATCCTACTTTTGCGGGCTTTGTGTTCAATTTTTAGGCGAGTTGCGTCACCAACGTTTTACGACTCAATCGTTTTTTGATGTTCATGCAACCCGACATAAGTATTTCAAATTAAATACGAATCGAAAAACAAGAACAGCGCATGCGCGTACTTAAAAGTTAATTCGCGTTTACATAAAAACTGGATTTTTTTTTTTTTAGTTATGCAAGGTCCTTGGGTGTATTTGAAATAAACATATTATGCAAATTAAAACACGAAAACAAATTGTCGAACAAGCGACGACCAATATTCTAGTAAACACCAGATGCGACCATTATAATATTACATTAGCAATATGAAATTATTCACGGTGTTTTTCTATATACTTTTACCCATTATTACATTACTTGCTACTATTGTCATTAATGCTAGTATTATTACCATAGAAATATAGAATCCACCTATAATTCGACGTGGGATAAATCGGGGACGGTACGGTTAATGGAGAGGAGTCCTCCCGGAATATATTTCATTATTTGTAATGAATATTTTGCTAACTTGTTTTTTATTAAGAAGTGACATTGCCCATTCTTACGCCAAGCCACGGGAATATATTATTATTTATTATTATATTAATATTATGTTTATATTCTTAATTGTATATACATGTCACCAGTCACCATGCACCAGATATTGCATAATGTCTTACAAACAAGTTAAACGTGAAAAAAAAAAAACGAAACGTTAACGCCATTAAGCGTCACGTCACCTAAAATCTGTCATAGATAATTCGATCCTCGGCGCATCTTTTTTTTTTTTTTACCCTCGTGATGTATTTAGGCAACTGAAAACGGGAAACGTACACGACGGATTGCGTAAGGATAAGTATATTCATTTTTTTGTAAGAAAATGTATGATTTTTTTTTTACTCGTTATCTCGTAGCTAATTCGATTGTTATAAGACTTCCGTACCGCAAATGAAGAAAAATTACTCAACGATTCGATTCATTTTTTTTGCCAATTTCAATTGTCGGAAGAAACTTTTGTCCGTTTTTTTATTTATAGCCTTTATTATAAATTTAACAGCTCAACAATTACACAGGTTAAAGATAGTATATACAAACTAAAATAATAATGGAAAAAAAATATTTATACAAAAATTACACATTGTTAAAATAGCTTTTGTCCGTTGTAAAGACAAATAAACAAAAAAAAACACAAAATAAATGCAACTCTACCCAGCTGTATAATATAATATACATTATTAGGCGCTATCGTAAACGGATTGATTTATTTAGAACGGGTTTTAATATTTTGTCAGGTTGTATACCGCCAAGTATTACGAAAGTATATTATGTGTTTGTTTTATATTCTTTTATTCGAGGACACTACACCGTTATTCTGTTAGTGTTGTTTCGGTACGTCATCGCCCACGCGCTACATACCTAACAGCGTTTCTATCGTGTCTTCCAAGCTCGGTAGTCGACCTGCCTGTATTAGGCATTGGCCGAAATGTATACCGTTGTTTTTTTTTTAAAGTTCCAAATTAATCAACCGGTGTAATATCCAGTGATTTTTTTGTTTAGTTCAATTATTAAGAACTCACGGCGTCCGCCGTCCAGTGGCGACGAAAGCCAGTCACGTTAAACACGATTTCTTTAAACGCGCAAATCCAAGTGCACTACAACGTGGCGTCGGTGTAATCTAAATTTTATAGGTTTCTCAACGTGTCGCAAGAGCTGGCAAAATGGACCTGGGCGAGCAGATAATATATTATCATGGGTAAAAGATATACCGTACACATATAACGAGTAACACATCATGGCTACAATATATATATATAGCGATTATTAATACCGCGATTGTTGAACTCCACGATCATAAAGGAGATGACGACGCGTTGTCGATTTCAAAACAGATTTGTTAAAAATGTATTGACCATTTGCGCCGTTCGGCCTATCACGCGCGGTCAGTTGATGTTTCCCCATATCGCGATGATGAGCATGATATAATAATATATTATTGTAAACACTCGAATCAAGCTTCTCCACGGTAATGCGCGTGTCCAAGGGCGATCGGTACTTCGCTATTATTAGTATAATATACATTTTTACACCTTTGTCGAAATTACAAGTAATACATACACATCAGACCGTGGTCGCCCGTCAAGCAAAAAACCAAAAAAGGTGTCTGCACAAATGATAAAATAAAGATGTTTTATTTGTTTAATTGATTAGGAAATTAAATTAAAACGAAACTAAGGATAAAAAACTGCTCGGTACATTTGGTCGTAACCGGTTACATGGCCAAAATTGTTATACAACGCACAGTTTTTTTTTTCCACACACGGCGTTGGCGTAATTGGATCTCGAGCGGTGGCCACCGATTCTTCGCACATATTATATTGTTATCATTATG